ACAACAAATAAATAAATAAATAACAAATAAGTCTTAAATCCTCTTTTGTTCCTCCATCCAATTGTCTTTGTCAATCAGTAACTAATTGGACCTTGAAACTTCCTTCATAACTTCTACAACTTCTTCCTAATGGTTCATTCAAAACTTATTTTTTTATAACAAGAAATGTTATATATTATCAGTTTTTTGATATCATTTTTATATCACTTTTTACATTTTATATCACCTCTTACATAGATAGTTATGATTGATTTCTTTATTTAGAAAAAATTAATAATTAATTAATAAAAGCAAATAATATATTATCATGAAATGCAATAAAAAGTGTAAAATAAATAAATAATATAGAGATGTCCTCTTTTTATAACCTCTTCTGTGACTCTCAAACTTCAGTGGCTTTATTTTGTTATTTCATTAATATCCCAATTACATTCAAATAATATGTTTTTGGTGTTATTCACCTCTCAAATTTATAGTTAAAAATCATCATATAATAATTCAAAAATTGGTAGAGAACAAGTGACCCTATCCTAGGAATGGAACCAAGATCTCATCTAAGAAAACATGACAAATAAAAATAAATAAAAAAGTTGCATTTTCTATTAAACCCATGAAAGCTGAAAGCTATGATGATGAATTGTTGATCCGTATTTTGGATAATTTGAAAGTCTTTGTTACTATGGAACAACTGTAAGGTAAGCTCGTCGGATTTCATCACATTGATTAATATGATGATTTCAATTTGCAGACGCAATTTGGGATCCCACCTCAACAAATAAATATCAACTTCATTTATTTCAATTTTTTTTATTTAAATTTGGAATTTTTATTGATAAATCTCATTTTGAAGTGTTTTAACTTAAGAAGTCCATGAAAGAATTTTTTAACTTATTTTGTCCCATGTATGTATAGTTTTATTCCATAAAGTTTTTTTTCTTGATTTACACTATTTTCTTGGACACTTATGCCCTTATATTTAATTTTGATACCCTTATAAATATTTTTTGAACGGTTAGCAATTTTATGATGTGAACATTCATATTTTAAAATTCACATTGGTACGAATGTAAAATTGGCCCGTGGGCGGCCCGAAACCCGCCCGCGAGTCAGGGCGGGCCCAACCCGTTGACAATGTGAATATTTATATTGACATGTTAACATTCACATTAATAGGAGTGTAAAACTGGCCCGCGTCCCGTGGCGGTGCGAAAACCGCTCGCGGCCCATTGGCAGCCCGGGGCAGACCCGGTCCGGCCCGTCGACAATGTGAATATTCACATTGACATGTTAACATTCACATTGATAAGAATATAAAATTGGCCTGCGGTCCGGGGCCAGCCCGGCTCGACCCGTTGACAATATGAATATTCACATTGACATGTTAACATTCACATTGATAGGAGTATAAAATTAGCCCGCGCCTCGTGGCTGTCCGAAGCCAGCCCACGGCCCGGCCTGTTGACAATGATATGTTAACATTCACATTGATAAGAGTATAAAATTGGCCAGCGGCCCAGGGCTGGCCCGACCCGACCCGTTGACAATGTGAACATTCACATTGATATGTTAACATTCACATTGATAAGAGTGTAAAATTGGCCCGTAGCCGGTGGGCGACCCGAAACCCGACCGCAGCCCAAGGCGGGCTTGGCCCGACCCGTGACAATGTAAATATTCACATTGACATGTTAACATTAACATTGATAGGAGTGTAAAATTTGCCCACTACCCGAAGCTTGCCCGCAGCCCGAGGCAGGCCTGGCCCGGCCCGTTGACAATGTGAATATTCACATTGTCATGTTAAAATGCACATTATAGGAATGTAGAATTAGCCCGCGACCCGTGGGCTGCCCGAAGCCTGCCTACGGCCCGGGGTAGGCTCGTTTCGGTCCGGGCCCAAGCATATCCGAGACCCTAGGTTAGGGCCTAGGTCATCACTTTGAAGCCCGGCCCGGCCCTTCGGCCCGCTTAAGACCTATTCAAGGCTCAGTCCGAGGCCCAGCTCGCCCGAGGCGCAATGTATTTTTTTTTTTGAAAAATAATAAAATTTTGGTAAAAAAAATTAAAAAGAATTTAAAAAAAATGGCCAGACCCGCCCAAGCCCGACCTAAGCTCGAGGCTAGGCCCAGGCCCACCGGCCCGACCCGAGGCTCGATCCATCGACCCGTCCAAAGCTCGAATACCCTTGTGCCAGAGCTAGGGCCTGGGCCTAATTTTTTGGCCCGTGGGCCAGCCCGACCCGGCCCGGGAAAGGCTCGTCTGGGCCCAAGCTCGAGCCTTGTTCGAGACCCTAGGCTAGGGCCTGGGCCATCACTTTGAAGCCTAGCCCAACCCATCGGCCCGGTTAAGGCCCATTCAAGGCTCGGTCCGAGGCTCGGCCCGTGCCGAGGCCTAGTGTTATTTTTTGTGGAAAATAATCAAATTTTGGTAGAAAAAATTAAAAAGAATTAAGAAAAAATGGCCAGGCCCGCCCCGGGCCGTGGGCGAGTTTCGGGCAATCACGAGGCACGAGCTAATTTTACACTCCTATTAATGTGAATGTTAACATGTCAATGTGAATATTCACATTGTCAACGGGCCGGGCTGGACCCGCCCTGGGCCGCTGGCCAATTTTATACTCTTATCAATGTGAATGTTAACATGTCAATGTGAATATTCGCATTGTCAACAGGCCGGGCTGGGCCTGCCCCGGGTCGCCCACGGGCCGTGGGCGGGTTTCGGGCAGCCACAGGCGCGGGCTAATTTTACACTCCTATCAATGTGAATGTTAACATGACAATGTGAATATTCACATTGTCAATGGGCCGGGCCGTGGGCGGGGTTTTGGCCGCCTATGGGCCGCAGGCCAATTTTATACTCTTATCAATGTGAATGTTAACATGTCAATGTGAATATTCACATTGTCAACGGGCCGGACCGGGCTCGCCCCGGGCCGTGGGCGGGTTTCGCGCTGCCACGGGACGCGGGCCAATTTTACACTCCTATTAATGTATATGTTAACATGTCAATGTGAATATTCACATTGTCAATGGGCCAGACTCGAAATTTTTCGGGCACCCATGAGGATCGACATGGACCGGGCCCCTACACGTTGACGATATGAGCATTCACAATGACGGTGTGAACATTTACATTAGGGGTATTTTGGTAATTATGTCACCCATAGGACTTATTGAAACATAAAAAAATAATGTGAATTAAATGGAACATAAGTAGATGAAAATGGTATTTTGGGTCTTATTATCTCAAATATGACCTAATGGAATAGTCAAAAAAAATATAGATTTGATAGAATAAAACTCTTAGAAAGTTGATTTATCAAAAAAGCTCCCTTTAAATTTTGTAAGATGCATTTTAGAAATTGAAGAATTGAAGTGGCAATGATACATTTACATTTATTTATAATATATAAAAAAACAAAAAAACCATCTATTGTAGATAATTTTCCCTTATTAATCTATCAATCAAATAAAATTTATATTTTAAGAATCAATGAAGATAGACCAAAAAGCATTTGGTGACGCCACATTATCATTCGCATTATGTATCACTTTTCGATCATAAATAACTATGTAAACAGTGTTTACTCAAAAATAAATATAGTGCAACTTTGGATGCAGTAATTAGTGAAAGTCAAAATCTCCTCTCTATCACACGTTGAAGTTAGAGAGACCTGATAATGTAATTCAGCGGAAATTTTACACAAAGGTAGGGAAGAATATTGGGGTAGTGTTGATTATAAATTTGAATTTTGGTATTTTTATATGTAGTAAAAAAGGCTATCTTTCTATCATTTGTTGTGAGTTCATATCTAAAAGGTATATTAATTCCATTTAAAATTGTATTCCACTATTTTGCAAGCCCATTTTAAAACCAAAATCAACTTATTTATTAATTCCATTTAAAATTATAAATTTCTCTATTTGGCACCAATGTATTATTCATTTTCAAACAAAATCAAGGTACAGATTCTAAAAAGTCCCAAAATTGTGGATAAACCGATAATTAACTATGATGCCATTCAGAAACAACACAAGAAGAAGAAAAAGAAAAAAGAGTATTTCGTAGGCATCAAGGTAAGGAACCGAGATTATATACTACTTTAGAAGCGGAATCGAAGGAGTTGGTTGAAAGGTAAGGATAGCGTGATTGGCCGATTGGTTAGAAGGTAAGGATAGCATGATTGACTGGTTGCAGGTCCCATGGGTCACAGCTGCTTGGGTTTAGACCGCTGAACATAATTTGGACGGTGGACGGGCCAAGGCTATATGGGCTCCGATCCTTTTCATGATTTCATGTAAGGAGCCACCTTTAACGGGTTATAAATTTGGACAGATACAGCGCCTCTATAATTTACCCATCAAACTATTTTATTCTCACCATGATATCGGCATGCTCGCCATTAATTGCCATATTGTCAAATTTACAATGTGGAATGAAGATTGAGTTGTTTAGTTATATAATTATTGTGGTATTTAGTTATAAAAATAGAAATTAAATTATTGTGGTATTTAGTTATAAAAATAGAAATTAATACACCTATATTAGTTAATTGTCTTTAGAAGATAATAATGTCAACAACATGACAAACTTTTAAAATTATCAAAAATCTGAAAAGAGATGGCAATAATTTTCTTATGTTTAATTAGATTAAAAAAAAAAAAATTGAAGTTAACTTGCCACATATTTTAATTTTCTCCAATTTCTCAAAAAAAATTTCCTGTATAATATTTAAAACAAAACCCACTAATTTTCATAAACAAAATTACAAAACAAATTGATTACTAAAACTATGTACCAACCATATTTGTGTTTGTTCTCATTAAAAAAACCCAATTCAATTTAGCCTTCGTTGGATGTGAAAGATTGAGAAAATAGAAGATATTTAAGTGCACAAGTCACGCAGTAAAAAGCGGTAAATGTGATCAAACAAAACTACATGAACACAACATTTATGCTTTATTTCTCATTCATTTAACATGAATTCATCACACTAATGGTAAGAATGCAATGCATAGATCAAACTTGCATTTGAAAATGATTAAATGAATCAAATGGAGTCAGACTCAACCTGAAGACAATCTTATAACAAATGCCAAAATTAAAGTGTTTAGGGTTCACAAGAAATTCTAAAAAAATAAAATATAACTTACAAAATAATTATAAAACAGTGGTATTTTGTAGTTTGTGGGGTAAATGGATTTGGATGAACTACAACTCATCTTTCCTATGCTCTTCATCCTTTGTGGGATTGGTACCTTCTTTGTGTCTCTCATTTTTGAGCTTCTCAATAACTTCTTCTAAAGGAGGGTCTCCTGGTCTTCGGAAAACTTGATCTCCTATCTTAATCTCATATGCTTCTGATTGGTTCAAAACAAATTCTTTAAGCTGGAGGACAAAAGATGCCCATAATGAGATAGGATTAACCAAATTTGAAAGATAGGGTTAGCAATTTTTAATCTTAAACAAACAAAAAAACAACTACCAAATTCACTAGTGAGGGAAAGAAAATATGCATAAAGAAAGATACAATTTCAGTATGAAAGCGTGGGATGTAGGATCCAAAGTCCATGGATCAACCACCTAACTTATTTGCAAATACTAGCAATGTTGAGCAAAACAGACACACACCTAAATCGTATTCATATAACGAGGGTACCTTCTATATCAAATGCCCAATTTTTCATACTTCAAATGTAAAACATGACTTGTGAGGAAATCAAAATTATGAGAAAATTTGTTCCTAGTGTTTCTCAAAACATTTCTGACTTCAATAAGCTTATTTAGTTGACTAATGATAAGTGTTGGGATCTAAAAGAAATGTGTTAAAAGTAAAACACATCTTAATTGGCATCCAATTGTGAACCATCTAATCATCCTCTAAAATTAAAAACTAGTGCAACTTTTTCAGTGGGATATTGAGAAATATTTGCGAGTCAATGATAAACATACCTCTGAAGCATCTTGGCCTTTTTCCATAGTGAACATAATTGTGTTAAGATCGAAACCCATAAACTTCGTCTCAATAGATCCAGTTCTTGCAAGTTGTGTCCATTTCATAGCAATGTCAGACACAACATCCTGAAAATTTTGAGTGAATAAAACATATAGTTTAATGTCATCTTTCCGCAACACAATAAAATGAAATTATTTTGATTCAACCATCTCTTTATTGACTTGCCAACTTGAATCGTAAAAGATGGATATTGCGTATTTGAGGCTTCACAACAAAGAATTTTCTGTAAACATAATATGCCATAGAGCTATTGCAAAAATGAAATAATCTCGGGTTTTCTACATGATTTAGGCATCAGGTAACAAGAACCTATCAATCCGTCATCATAACACGCAAATCTGCATAAACAATCTGAAACAGAGAAAAATAAATGCATAAAAATGAGCTTTCAGATCATGCACTAAATGTGCAACAAAACATAAATTTTCATTTCCTTGGACTCCTAACTCATTCAAATTGCCGAACTTCCACCTGAATTCAAACAGCCAAAACATCATGCATGTCACATATGTACATCTAGTGTATATATATATAGTCTCATATCCCAATTTTTTTTAAATTGCCAACCTATTAACTAAATTTAAGCCTCCAAAACTTAAATGTCTTTACATATGTACATGTGTCTTAAAATAATTTATATTAAAAGAACACACCAAGGGAGTGCAACCATATACCAAAACTATATCAACTATACAACCAAAACTATTCAAAAGACTTCACAAAATGCAAAAATTGGTTCAAGGACAGATTAACTATTCTGGAAAACCAACTATGCAAGACAAACAAAATTTTACTTTTGATTCTCAAAATGGATTATTCTTTCCGAACAAAATTCCCTCTATTCCTCTCACTCCAAACTATCAATATTAAATCCAAAGAAGACAAAGGCCACACCTTCCTCCTCCTTACAAACCAAGTTCCTTCCCAATCATAGAGAAGCTTCCCACTTTTCCGGGAAACACCAAAACTACTCCAAACAAAACAAGAATGAAGGACCACAACTCTCTAGCCACCTCACAATAGATAAAAAGATTGGCTCACAAATTTTTCGTTGTGCTTGCACATAGAGAACTAATTAACATGAACTTGCCTCCCATTAATCAAGGGCATATGTAGAAGTGTCACTATCTACATATACGGTCTAAATCCAAGTAAATTTCAATAAATCTTCCATAAATTGTTCTCAAAAAAGCAAAAATAGTTCCATATTGGACAGGAGTTGTATATTCTTTGCAATCCACATACATCAAATGCAGTAAAACATCATATATATGTATTATATATATATATATGGTCCAACCTTGCATCCCAACTTTTTCAAATTGCTAAGTTTTATCTAAATTAAACTGCCATAACTTAATTCCATTTACATATTTACATGTATATATATTCATATATGATCTAATTCCTCCCAAACTTCATTAAATTTCCCATAACTAGTATTCATACCTGCAAAAATAAATTACAAATAGGATTTGTATATTCTTCGCAACCCACATACATCAAATGCAGCAAAATTATCCAAATTTCCATAAACAAACACAATTCAATTTTCCATTTTTCTGCACATAAGTAGTATTCATACATGCAAAAAAATATATTACATATATTTATAGGATTTGTATGTTCTTCGCTACCCACATACATCAAATGCAGTAAAATTCCATGATCAAACATACAAATCTTAGACATCCAAATTTCCAGAAACAAAAACCCAGTTCAAATCCAACGACTCTGACCCATTACAGCTACAAATCAAAATCAAAATAAGAGAAAAAAGAGTTTGCACTAAATTCAGTAAAATTCCAATCATCAAACATACATCAAATGCAGTAAAACTCCAATGATCAAACAACAAACCCTAGACATCCAAATTTCCAGAAACAAAAACCCAACGACTCTGACCCATTACAGCTAAAAATTAAAAAAGAATTTGCAATTACCCGAGTGGTTTCAACGTCCAATCGAAGCTTGACGAAGCCGAATACTGGACCTAACTGGCGCTTGAGCATTTCGTTCTGCATCTCCGGCAAATCCATGTTGGAGAAGTCCATGGGAGGAGGGTCGAACTCGGCTCTTGGGGGTGGCGATTTTTTGCCCCATTGTTTCCATGCTTCGTCCTCTTCGTCGTCGACGACGTCGTCTAGGTCGTCGGTGATGTGAATCCTCCTCTTCCCTCCTTCGGCGAATCGGGAGATTTCGTTGTGTTCGGCGATGAGGATGAAGAAGATGAGAAAGAGGAAGCGAGAAGTTTGGTTACTCATCATGACATGGACATGGGTTTCTAAAGCTTTGCTTGATTGATCAGAGTTTAGGAGAGTTGTGGAGTTACATCTATGTGCTCCATATATGCACACAAGGGGTTTGGGGCCAACTCGCCAGTAATTTCTCGTCAATTTTTTAGTTTTGGGGTGGATGGTTTGTCTTGGATCAAATTGGGGAAAAAAAAAAAATATATTAGTCGCGGTGTATGTAAAATGACACCGTTTATTAAAATTAGTGGTTGCCACGTGCGTGTGTAATTGAAATAACAAATGTGATTGGTTATCAAAAAACCAGTGACATTTAGCCTCCGTATGGGAAGTGGATTGGTTTTTTGGTTTTTTGACTTTTTTGGTTATTTTAGTCTGGGCTAAAAAACTTGGTTTGGGAAGGATTTTTTGGCTTTTTTTAGCTTTTTTTTGTAAGAGAATAGTGTAGGTGTTGTTTGGTAACACTTACGTTTTCAGTTTTCTATTTATATTTATAAAAAATTTTAAAAACTCAAATAAAAACTTGTTTGGTAAAATTTTTGATTTATAAATGAGAAGAATGTAATGATTATGGGTTGGATGTGATTTTTTGTTTATTATGGCTAAAATAGCCTATTTGTTTTTTGTGGCTAAAATAGCCAAAAAAGCCTGCAAACCCACTTGCCAAACATAGGCATTATATGTTAATTAAGTGATAAGAATTTTATTTATTTGATATAAATCTAAAGTTTAAATTCCCTCCTCTCATCTATATAACTTTTTTTATTTTAAATAAAAAAAAGAGGTATTCACTTTATAATAGTACTAGCGATTATCATACGCGTGCAATTCAAATAAATAAAAAATAAAAATAAATATTTATCATATATTGTGTGTTAGTTAATGTACGGGGAGCAAATATTCAGGCGAGCCCGTATTCCTTTCTTCCAAGCTCCGTTTCTGTCCGATCACCTGAAAGCACAATGTGAGTGAGCTACCCGGCGGTGTGTGGCCGGAAAACCCCTCCGACGGTCAAGTTAGAACACACACCAGGGGATAGATAGAGAGAAGGGAGAGTGTTGAGTGTTTAGTGTATGTCTCACCAAATGTTTATCTATCGCGTATGGGGGGCGCAGACATGCTTATATACCCTCTGCGCCCCATATCCACTCCCAGTCATCTCCTGACACGTGGCTCTGCTATCCCATCTCTCAGCATAAACCTTGCCGATCATCACCTAATCTCAACTGCCTGCCTACTCAGCAGGAGCTCGACAGCCGGGCTGCTCTATCCACGGCCGTGCTATGCTTCATACCCATGCACCTCACTAGATAAACCCAAGCGGGACCGGGCTAGGCGGCATCTCGGCAGAGCCTAGCCCGGGCACCTTCTGTGGTCGGCCTCCCTGTCGGTCAAACAGTCTCCTCAGTTGACCACGCCTTTCCGAGCGCCGATCATTCAGCTTGTCTGGCTTCAGTCATTCCCTGATCAAGCAGCTCGGTCCAACCGAGCACTGCCTTGCCGAGCTTCTTTTCGGTCCGGGACGGCTCACACTTGGCCCAATTCCTACCCGGGCCAAGTTCTCGCAGCCCATCTCCGGGCGGATAGCCGATCATCTCGGCCCTTCCAACAGTCAATTCCATAAGATACAATTTGCCACGATAGCTACTTTTTATGTCACATCTCAAATTCAAAAAATTTCCTAATGTATTTGTTTTGATCATTTTCTTATATTTTGTCTTCAATTTTGAAACATGAGTTGAGCATTTGAGAGGGTAATTTTGGTGAAAATTGGGCCGAGCTATAAGATGGTCATAGTGGCCCACAATACAAAAGGCTAAGTAAAAAAGGCCGTAAAAGTTACTCCGGTCCAAGAGAGGTACAGAATTACTCCGACCCAAGATACGTGTAAAGTTACTTCGGTCCGGAAGCAACTTGAAATTAGACCGGTCTTAGAGTTATACCGGTCGCGAATCGTTAGTTCGGTCTAAGCCGTGCCATGTACAGTGCATGAGAAGCCGACGTAAGAGAAGTAAAAGGAAGAACTAGTTCGGCTCATTCTACGGCTATGCTTAGTCGTGTTTACTTCGATCGTATTGGAGTTCGGCCATAATACAACCATCTCACTTGGTTTAAGCAGTGAGGGGTGTTGAAGGATAAGCATTATCTTCAGGAGTATGAATCCTAGGAGGACTCTACATGGAGGAGTAGAAGTCCTACTAGGATTGTACCACGGAAAACCTATAAAAGCTCAAAAACATCACCTTGGGAGAGGTAACACACAACTTTGCTTTCTGAATACACAGAGCTTTGTCTATTTGTCAAGTTTGCTGACTTAGGCATCGGAGAGGTTTCCGGCACACACCCGCCGGCAAGCTCACGTTTGTATTTTCAGGTGGAAAAGCGACGACGTACGGAGGAGCAGACTTGGTCAACAGGATTATACGTGAAGGTGTATTTCTTTCCCGTACAGCATCTATAGAGATTAGCTCAATTCTCACACATTGTTGGTTAAGGAATTAAATTTATTGTTCTTTTGTCTTCAATTTTCGTTAACTAATCAGCCGTTTGTAGCAAATTTAAATTTTATTGAAAACAAACTTGTTTCTCTGTAGCAAATTTGATTGAAAACCAACTATTGAGAAAAAGGGGGTAAACAATGATTTTAACTTGCCAATAATGGAAAAAAGGCAAAAAATTAACAAATTTACTTCCAAACCAAAAAAAAAAATTTGTTAAAAAAAATTATATATTATTATAGTTTAATATCCTCCAATATCTCATTACTTTTTTGTTAAATAAATTAGCAATACTATCCACGTCAACTAATTAACGAAATTGCATGACCAATCCATTCCAACAGTCAATTCCATAAGATACAATTTGCCACGATCGCTACTTTTTATCTCACATCTCAAATTCAAAAAATTTCCTAATGTATTTGTTTTGATCATTTTCTTATATTTTGTCTTCAATTTTGAAACATGAGTTGAGCATCTGAGAGGGTAATTTTGGTGAAAATTGAGCCGAGCTATAAGATGGTCATAGTGGCCCACAATACAAAGGGCTGAGTAAAAAAGGCCCTAAAAGTTACTCCGGCCCAAGAGAGGTACAGAATTACTCTGGCCCAAGATACGTGTAAAGTTACTTCGGTCCGGAAGCAACTTGAAGTTAGACCGGTCTTGGAGTTATACCGGTCGCGAATCGTTAGTTCGGTCTAAACCGTGCCATGTACAGTGCATGAGAAGCCGACGTAAGAGAAGTAAAAGGAAGAACTAGTTCGGCTCATTCTACGGCTATGCTTAGTCGTGTTTACTTCGGTCGTATTAGAGTTCGGCCATGATACAACCATCTCATTTGGTTTAAGCAGTGAGGGGTGTTGAAGGATAAGCATTATCTTTCAGGAGTATGAATCCTAGGAGGACTCTGCATGGAGGAGTAGAAGTCCTACTAGGATTGTGCCACGCAAAACCTATAAAAGCTCACAAACATCACCTTTGGAGAGGTAACACACAACTTTGCTCTCTGAATACATAGAACTTTTGTCTATTGGTCAAGCTTATTGACTTAGGCATCAGAGAGATTTCCGGCATACACCCGCCGGCTAGCTCACGTTTGTGTTTTCAGGTGATAAAACGATGACGTACAGAGGAACGCAGACTTGATCAACAAGATTATATGAGAAAGTTTATTTCTTTCCCGTACAATTGGCGCCGTCTGTGGGAAAAATAGACAGGACAAAACCTCTTGATCAAGCTTTACCTCTTTAGGAACAATGACGCACATTGAAGAATTACCACAGTCCGCCATCGACAGGCAAACACCAGATGGGGGTGCAAGGCGTGAAGGATTACCTTCTATCCCTCCCATGGCGGACTT